TATCCCAAAAGGGGCGAGGGGTTCCTTATAGAATTTGGTTAAGGTTTTTTTTTTGAGAGCCTTTTTCCGTCTGCTGAGTCAGTAGGCGGAGAGCCCAGTTTGGGCAGGCCTAAAAGACACCTCCGGAAAGTTTTTCAATCTGCCTCAGTAGTGCTCTTACACGTGGCCAACATTTCGTCAAGGAGCGTGTCCGTGCATTCGTTTGGCCACACTCGGCTTACCCTCACCGTTCTGCACCATCAACGAACCACCAGACATCATCGCATTTCCTTCACCCCGAAGTTGATTCGTAGCATCCAGAGACGACCCATTCCATGCTGAGTGCCCTCGACAGTTTTCTGGCCCCAAAACAATCTTCTGGGTCTCCAATAACTCCAGGGTGTCCACACCGAACTGCTGCTTCACCGCATCGTTGGAGAGCTGGCCTTCATTCCACTGTTCGTAGACCTTCTGAAACTGCTGAAATTCCAGGGGAACCCCACAGGCAGGTACCTCACGAGGCAGGTCTCCACCAGAAGCAGGGATCGTTGAGGCATCACTCCCAGCACTCTCAGCAGGGTCTCCTGTTCGAGTCTCGCGGCCCCCAACACCTTCAGGCTCCACCTCAGACTTGTAGAACTTCAGTACCACCTGCTGCCCGGAGTGAGGGTCAAAGGGCACAGACCATCTTTGTCCACCACCCTCGCCCCCAGGTGAACTTACCATCACCTCGAGAAATGCCCTCTTTCGACTCCGAATAGGACGATTCATCTCGTCCCATACCGCCCAGTCATCCCATTCTTTACATGCCCTGGACGTTTGGAGCTCAACCTCCGCAGCCACCACGGCCTCCACACCCTCATAGTACTTCGACTCCTCAGCCTCGAACCGTTCTTGTTGTTCTCGAAGTGCTTCCTCATCTCGACGGTTCTCTTCCTGATCAGCTACCAGCCGAGCCACCTCAGCGTCACTGATAGAGCTGCCTGGGAGGGAAGCCTCTGCCGAGCTCGTCACCTGGAGCGTGTCAGGCTGCACCGGCGGGTTGTCCTGCTCGATATGCAGCATCGGCTCCAATGTTCGCCACCAGCTCCATGTCCATTCAGACACTTGCTCCGGCATGGCATGGAAACCTCCCGCAACCGACGACAAGCCATTCTCCTCAACCACGACACAAAGGGCTTCAACACGGTCCGCCAGGTCCCTATCCACGAAGGATCCCAGCCTCAAGCGATGCACCCTCGACCGGAGGTGCTCGGCTCGAACTCTTGCCAAGCCCAGGTCACCTCCCATAAGAGCATCCTGTAGCCTTGCCATAACCCCGGAAACCAGTGTGACGTCCTTCTGCACGAGGCTTAAGGCATCGAATCCTTCCAGCTGCACGTCCACCTGCAGCATGAGTGTGGGGATGCCATCGTCATCCTCATCGTCCTCATCAGCTTCTGGACCCCGGTTGCTTCAGGGACCACATCCACAAAGCTGGCAGCATGTAAGACCACTCCGAGCTCTGCAAGGATCGCCCTGAGCACGGTCATGAGCCCCAATGTGATGAGGGCTTGTTGCTCCGCTGTGAACCCCGAGATCACTCGGCGAATATAGTCAGCACGGGCATCCGGAATGAAGGGCCCATCCCCAGCTGTAACCTCAACTCCTCGAGGTAAGGACGAAGTTTCAACCCCCAGGATGTGTCGCCAAATATCCACACAGTCATCATTGTCCCCCGAGGAGCTCGACGAGCCAGAGCCAGAGCCACAGGCACCCGACCCCGCAGCTGCAGGTGACGACGACCCTTCTTTTTGGTGGTCCGGAAGCATTGGCCCTGCTCCCTTGTGCCACAGGGCTGCCTCGCCCCGAAAGAGCCGGTGGCACAGCCCGCCACGGCGCAGATCTCAGAGCTTCATCTGTTCGTCCCCTCGTAGAACCCCTCGCAGAACCATCCGCAGAACCACGAGCTGACCCCGAGGAGGCAGGAGGAGCGGGCTCTCGGCGACGTCGATTTTCTCGATTTGATCTCGACCTCCCGGCCCTTCTTTCCCTTTCACCACCACGACGACCCCTTTCCATCAAGTGAACTCCATCCGCTTCAGCACCATCCACAGGGGCATAGTTACCACGAGGGCTTCGGTCGTTCCGATAGGTGGTGAACAGCAGGGCCTCAACTTCGGTTGCCCATATGTAAAAATCTTCGGGGGTCAGGGACCATTCCACTCCTTGACTTTCAGGGATACCAGCACTCAAAGTCGCAAGGGCCCCTTGACACCATGCCATGTAGGCCTCATCATCCCTTGCTTCCACAAATCTCCGGACCATACCCACAGCCATGCCCACCTGTCTGCCCTCCAACCCCAGAACAGATCCATAAGCTGTTCCCAAGTACGGCGTGCTGTCATCTGGGTCTGGAACAGCCCTGTCGTATCATCGTCCTCCTCGTCAGCCTCGACTGGGCCTTCCATCGTTCCACGGCCCCTGCGACTCACTTCAGAGCCTGCCGACCCCCTCGCAGCCGACGGTCTGAAGTCTGCCACAAGTTCCTCAAATTCTCGCCTGGGGATGCCATCAGCTCTCGGGCTCACATCCTTTGGCAAGTACCCCTGCATCATGACAACCATATCCCCATCGACATCCTCGTCAACCCCTTGGATGGGCCTTCGTCCCTGCAGAGTGCCCACAGAGACTTCACAGGAAAACCCAGCCGGAGCACCCTGACCCATCAGCAGGCCAGCAGCGGTTTCATAGCCAAGCTCCAGTCGGGCATCCATACAGCCCATGCCGAGCCCCCAAAGCAGGCCCCAGACCTTCTTGCCGAGGATCAGCTCGTGCATCGTGTAACCGTTGAGCACCACGGGGTACATCTCCCGCCGATCTTCTTCGCATCGTCCTGCATCGAGTACAGGTGGAGCAAGCCCAACAGCGGAGGCCACCGATCTCGGCATCCCTGGTGTAGCTTTGCCCGAGCAGGCCAGAGCGCCCATGCCGAAGTCACCCACTGGGCAGCAAGGAAGCACCAGGCACTCATCACCCTGAGCTTCACAGGTCACCATCCCCTCACCAAAGAAAGCAGTCATCTTCGGCATGATCGTGTAGTGGGAGGGGCTGAGGTCCTTCAGAACCCGCCGAACTTCGCACCCTCCAGCAGGTCCATTTCCCCCACATAGAGGTGCACACATCCAGGCGACATGCAGCCACATGAACTCCATGAAAGGAAGGCAAAATGCCCTCATACGTGTATGAAACATGAGAGCACCTAGAAGTTAAGGCGCAAAAGACGAAAGCGTAGCTGCACAGCAAAGCTGAGCCACAGCTGCAATCAGGCGGACCTTCACTCGCAGAGGCAGCACAACTAAGCGCAACGAATTGCTACACCCTCTCACACAAATCACCGTAGAGACCCTCACTGCCAGTCTTGCATCCACCCTTTCACACGTATCACCGTAGAGACCCTCACTGCCAGTCCTGTATCCTCGTTTGCCTCCCACTTGCCCACGTTAAATCCATTGCATCCACCCAACCCTGCTCAAGCTGCTTCCACACAACCCTGTTCTGAGCTGAAACCCTCCAATCGCCATGAGCGGCCTTGTGCATGTCTCGTTCCAGGTTGGCGAGCCGAGGGAAGTGCCTTGGGTGTCTGAGTGCATGGGGGTTTCGTTGCTGTTGGTGCCACCATTCCAAGGTACGGAAGGCCTCGAGCTGGGCACTTAAGGGTGGGGAATCCCTGAGAAGACACCTGCACCGATGCCCAGCATATCGCCACCACCTCCTCAACCAGGTGGTGGACCATCGTTCAGCACCACTGGCATGCAAGGCAGCACGGGCCCCCCTGTAAGCTCGAAGACGGAAGGCATCCCACACCTCATCAGGCCGTTTCGCAACCCTCATGGTCCAAATGGTAACCTGCAGCTGCATGGTGTTGAGTAAACCCATCGCAGGACGATCTGGTGGAAACGCTGCAAGTGGCCACAAAGCCGAGTTCCCTACCACTGTTGCCAAAGTTCGAAGTCGACCGCGAAGCGAGGTTTTGGAGCGAAAGACATGATGGAGCGACCAAAATTTGGACCGGGCTCTCGCCACCAGGGGGGCCACCAACTCGGAAGTGGTCATGTCAACCCTCATCGGCAAACCCATCACCTCCATCTCAGAAACAGCCTCAACTTTCTCACCCGAGATCATGATGTGCTTAGGCCCTGTCCAGTGAGGCGAACACACGAGTTGGCACTTGCCACCGTTCAGCTTCAGCCCGAACTCAGACAACACGACCATGAGCTGCCGAATTTTTCGCTCCAGACCCTGAACCCCACGAGACCAGATGATGCAATCATCCATGAAGAGCACGTCATGGTATGGCATCCCTGGAAAGAGCTCACCAAGAGACTGCCATTGAAACCTTTGAGATGCTTCTTCAAGACACACCTCAGCCACCATGGCAAAGAGGGCCGGTGACTCGACTGCACCTTGTTTTATGCCTCTAGTCATCCCCAGCATTGACGTGCCCCAAGGGGATTGGAGCACAGCTTCCCCATCCTGCAGAAGTGCTCTCCAGCATCGCATTTCAGAGCAATCTCCCATCCTAGACTGGAGCTTTCGAAGCAACTGTTCCCTGTCAACGGTGTCGAATGCCTTGGCGATGTCCAACTTAAGCAGACATGCTCCTGCATGCCATTCGGGCTCCAGCATAAGAACCCTCCAGACGGAATACAGAAAATCGGAACTCTGCCTGCCCACTCCAGCGCACTGCGAGTGGGTACGTGCTCCCCAGTCCATCGACGCTGATATACCAG